TCCCCCTCACCTGTACCCCCTTCCCCCTCTGTACATATTCCCCCTTCCCCTACCTATTCTATATTCTGGCACATGACAACCTAAAGGCATCTAGTATACCATAGAATAAACATTTTTGACTTTTAAAAGTTTTCAAAATTACAAAACCCACTTTTCATCTATATGATATTTTTCAGAGCTCCCTGTGGAATCTGTGGGCTCTCGTCGTTCAAACATCACAGCTGTAAGATGTAAGTCAAAACTTTTTTTGAAAATAATTGATGGATGTGAATGTTATGTTAGAGAGATTTAACTTAGTCTGTGAAAGAATAGACAACTTAATTAATACATAGTAGAAGGTTGATGCTAATTCCATTGTTTCTTTTGTTTTACTTTGACTGTTAGTCACTAATAGGCCATCTTATGGATCACGTTACTCAACCTCAGCCTCGTCAGCATGCAATTATTCTTTAGAATTTGACTACAGTCCACAGTAATGAAAGGAATTTACACATAAACGAACAATTGAAACACTTAAAAATTTCACAGGTTGTAGGCAATTTCTAAAGAATATATTACACGCTGATGAGGCTGAGGTTGAGCCACGGGATCTGTGAAATGGTCTATTGTACAACTTTGTTTCATGGGCCAAATAAAATCAATGTATTATATCTTTCACTTTTCAACTYTTTAACTTTTTAATTTTTTAAATTTTAATATTCACTTTTAAAATATTTATTATTTCTGAAGCTGATCCTCTAGAAGAATTTGATGACAAATCAAAGAAAGCAAAAGCAATTCCAAGTGGGTGTAAATTGTCTATTCATTTACTCCTTTATTTATTTATCAATTTTCCACCTATTTATTTCATTCAGTTATTAATCAAATCAGTCATTTAGTAATCCATTGCTGATCTATTCATTCTTTGACTTGTTCATTAATAATCATTCATCCATTCAATTAGTCATTTATTCATCCATTCATTCATTCTTTCACTCATTCATGACCCATTTTAATATCTTTTTATCTATAAAACTAGTCATTTATTCATTCATCATTCATCTATTGACAAATAGATTTGTCCCCATGATCTATGTAAACTGCATAGCTGCTACTAGCGCTTAAATACGCAGCCCTTAAAGTCCTCCACTGATCATGATTGTAAAACGCATTGAGACCATGTAAAATGCGCTATATAAGAACCCCGTTATTATTATTATTATTATTATTTATTATTATTATTATGGATTCATTTTGTTTATTTAGTAATGTATTCAAATTTATTTTCTTTTTATCAAAACTGCATTAATTCATTTAACCTCATCAAGGTTAAGCTCTGATTTTCAGAATATAATTTACTAGCGTCATGCATACATTCGAAAAAGAAAARCTAAAAAATCGAAATTATCTAAGCATTGCAAGTCCCAGATAGGATCGTGACAGAAAAGTTCAAATCTCATTCCCAATGTGAAGGCTTTAAGTTCACCGAGTTCCTAAATACCTTCCTGCTATTGCAGACCATTCAATACTTGTCATATAAAATGAACAAAGCATATAAACATAAAGTCATACCTGCAAGCTTCTTGTTAGAAGTTCAAATCGTACGTCATTTTGGAATATTTTCCCACAAACCAACACGGTCACTCTTTCTATCCCCAGGAAACCCGGTCATTGAATGCAAAGATTCCACCTTCAAAATACTAAATTAATGGCTGGCAGTTGAATTTATTTTTTGAAAAATCCAAAAATTTGATAAATAAAATGTCCTTTGGAATCGTATGGCACTTCTTAATCATGATAGGATTAGTTTCATGTGTTATTGCATGTTTTCATATAGGCGTGTCTAAATGACCGGCAACCAGTCAAGAATTTCAAAACACTAAATGGCAGCAGTTTTTTGGTTTTTTTTTTAAATCCATGATTCTAATAAAAAAGAATTTTGTTAATCAATGAATTTGTCGCGTAGTTAACTTCGTTGAATGAATGTTATTAATATTATTTATAATTTTATTAAAAATCTTGAAACAAAGAAAGCCGCACATATATGAAGTAGCTTTGAATCAGCCTGGCTAAGGAAGTATTGTATACTTTAATTTATTTAGAAAACGAAGTCAAGAAAGAATATAAACAATCAAAAGAAGATGAAATCGTACAGGATGTCCTTGAAAGTAAGTAGTTCTAGGTCATTGAATCTTTATAGCTCTTTATTGATGATTTTTTTTTTTTTTTTTTTTTTTTTTTTTTTTTTGTATAAACAGAAGCCAATATATTTAACCAAAGCGATAGCGATGATACCGTACTACAAGGTAAGGAATTGTTTTTGTATCTGTCTTTCAGTTTAAAATCCATCCATCAATAGATACCGTTCCTTTGTCCCTTCCTCGCTCCTTCTCTCCCTTCTTCATCCATCCATCCATCCTGCCTTACATTGAAATATCCATCCGTCTTGAATGATCCATCCATTAAATGCATACACCCACCGACCCGGACTATTTTCCATCTCAACCGGCATTCATTTATAAATTGTTTATCATAATTTGGAGGGAGGGGGGCTGGTGGTTATCCAAATTTTAAACTTCTTCACATTTTATATCCACAGTGGCCAAGTTATTTAATAACCAAAGTGTTGCTGAAGACAGTGTACATGGTATGAATTTTTTTGCGGATTTTTTGCGGTTCCAGTGTCCCCACTCTTACAATGAGTAAACAACGCTTATAGTGAGATATTTTTTGTTCTGTTAAGAAGTCAGCGATTCGCCGAAGAACCACGAAAGCTCCAAAACAAAACAAGATGTGCTTCCTAAACAAAAACCTGTGTCATACACAAGAACACAGCCAGCATCAAGTATACTTGGAAAAGGTAACCGGCTCTTCAAATATACCTCTTTACCTTGGGCATAATTTTTTCCTATTTCAGACCACGTGTCACTCTCTTGAGAATAAGATTCTTTGTTTGAGTTGTATCCATATTCATTTGTCTTTTCATGCGCAACCGTTAAACAAAGAAATTATACTCTAGGGAATGACTCGTAGTCTGAAATAGGAAACTATTACACTTAGGTAAAGACATCTATTAGCCATTTCAAGGTCGAGGAAAAGACTGTGTCGAGTTGACATTGCAGTACATTTTAGAGATGTTTTAGGATGGAGTCTATTTCGTCCCCCAAAACCGTCCCAAGATGCACTGCAATGCCAACTTGGCCAAGTTTCCCCCTCAACCTGGGAATGGCCAAATAAAGTAAGAAAAAATACATGAGGACCGTGAGAAGCTACATGGGAACAATTTATAATTTGATCGACAACAGCAGTGTATTGCCCGATTTTCCTGCCGCGACTGTTGTCTCGATCACCGCGTGCGTGACAATGAAATCACTGGGGAACTAAAATTTTAGCGTTATCTTTAAAATGTTTGTTCAAACATAATTGTAGTGTGCAAAGCCCGTGTAGACCTGGTGTTTCTGCTGGATGGATCCCAAGCCAGTGATAAAATGCACTTTACAAAATCCTTGACATTTGTTAAGGATCTCATCAAGTCGTTCAGTGTTTCCAAGGATGATGCACATGTCTCCGTAGCCGTGTGTTCAGAGAAGCCACATATTCTGTTTGACTTGAATGCGTTCACTGATCATAGAAGTATAGAGAGAGCAATGAGTTCTGTTGCTTACCCAAGTGGGAAGATGTTTGCAGGTTAGTTCCTCCTCCTCCACCTCCTCCACCTCCTCCTCCTCCTTCTTCTTCTTCTTCTTCTTCTTCTTCTTCTTCTTCGTTTTCCTTTGCTTTATCTGTCCTCCGTCCCGTTTTTTACCCATTTTCCGTTTACTATATTTTCAATACCGTTTAAAGGTGGATGTTTAAAAACGATCAAATCAGCCATATTCGAAAACAGTGGTCGACATGGCGTGCCAAAAATCCTCTACTTCATGTCTAGCGGAGGCTCCAACGACCACGTCGCCCTTCCATCAAGAGCTCTGAGAGATTTGAGCGTCCAAGTGTTCTCATTGGGGCTTGGTACCAAGTATAATGCCAGGGAATTAAAAGAAATTGCAACCGCGCCATATAGTGATCACGTGTTAGCGACACGGTATGAAATACTCGGACTTCTTCGACCTTTTGTTACAGCGCAGCTGTGTAGAGGTTGGTAGTGTCTAAATCTTTAAATTTGACGTCTTCACAAATTACTAGAATATAAGTTTTATTATACTGGAGAGTATAATAAAAATAATTAAATTACATTGCTATTCCACACTGGTATTGTTAAAAGATTTTATACACATATATCTTGTTCGTAGGATCTGGCGGAAAGCTGGTTCTCAAACCTCACAAGAAGCCCTTGGTAAAACCTAACGAGAAGCATTTGGAACACACCGAGCGCCAAGTAAAATCAAAAGTTCCAATAAAAAATGAAAGTAGCTTGAGGAAAAGTATGTTGTTTAAACTGAAGGAGAAAGAAGAAAAGAAAAAGGCTGCATTAAAGGCGGTAAGTAAGAATACGGTAACGTTAATGTTACCTTTAAACCAATAGAAACTTTGCATCTTCACGGGATGGCAGCCATGTATATGACAGGAGGCAAAACAATAAAGTCTTTTCCCCTGGAAAACTGACTGAATTMTTCCACATGTATAAATCAGATTAGACCAGATTAAATGAAGGATGAAGATATTGCTAATAATAATAAACATACTCAGAACAATCTATGATGCTGCTGACAGACCTACGATCTATGTTCTTTCAGGATATCAGGAAAAAGCTTCACATTCTTCTTTCAAAACTTGGTCGGAAGTTCCATAACGAAAATGCCATTTATCGTTCAATTGTCTATAACATCAATGGACACAGAGATGGTAAGTCCATACTATATTAATTCGATCGGTCGGGAAATACAGACGAACACCGTATTAGGGAGAACAGATGGTCGAGGGTGTCAGAATGACAGGTTCGACCTGGACATCACCAAATGTTCTTAATGACATGCTGTCCGTTAAGCAGATTTATCCAGGAGTAAATGCAAATCTTAGACAAAAACAAATATTCCAACGAGAATCGTTTGTCCTTTACAGAAACGAGTGGCGAGGGTTGGGTACTTATATCGCCCGTGGGGACTAGGAAATTCCGAGACTTGGGGGAGGCAGTACTACATATAAACAAAAATTATAGCAAGATAGTTAATATTAAGAATGGCGGAAACCAATTGCAAGTGAAGTAAAAGAGTATCAGTTTCCTGTCTGCTTAAATGCTTTACCTAGTCTCTGAGCGACAGACTATGACCCAGTTTCGACTGTTTTATTTATTCCTAACTGTTATAAGGATGCTGACATATTATTTTCTGTTTGTTGTTTGCTTTTTAACGATAGCTGGCTGCAAAGACTACCATGTTCTCTGCAAGACATGGGGCAAGCAAGGATACTGCAAAACGTCCTCCAAGCATGGAATCGACGCTTATTCCGTACAGCGGGTTTGCCCCAAAACATGCGTAGTTTGTTACCCATAGACTATGCAATTTTTYTTCGCTTTGATACAAGACGAGTTCCACAACTGCATGATAAATACACTCATTTTTTAATCATTTMATCAGTTTTACTAAGTTAAAGTAATGATCACTCAGTTACCAGAGCGTTTTTTCTTGTTTCCGTGGCCCGCGTTGCTTGGTGGTCTGCGGACAACAAAAAAACCGCTGATCTCTAAGCATCGCAGGCTAATCTACGACCCAGACAACCGTGACAACTTATGAATGCGGCTCATTTCTTGTGTTTGTTTTAAATTAATTTCTCTTCGAATTTTGAATTTTGAACGGACTGACTTCGTAAAAACCTGATTGACTCAAAAAAGGAAAAGCGTTCTAATTTATAGATTCATGATAATTTAAAGAATTAGCTGAGTTCGTTATTTCTTTATTAATAATAATAATAGTTTACTATTTGTATTGCGCAATTTATCATGTTAATCAGTGATCAACTGTGCATTACATATAGGTACACTAAAATACTAGGCATAAAATCTCTAAAAAACTACAAAAAGAGTATATAAAAGATTTAATAACTAAGGTCCAGTTTAGACGTCGAATCCCGCACGCACCGAATCCAATGCAGACAAACCAAACATTACTATGCCCATCTGCACTAGGCCCGGTTTTATTGACGCAACAAAACAAGCGCGCCTGCAATTTCGGAAGGTCACCGGAAAAGCAAAAAGCGTCCTAAGTGTTCTGTTCATCTTGAATGCCTTTGTCATTATGATTCTCTTGAATTTCAATAAAAATTATAATTACCACATCCGCGATTCATGATATTGAAAGAGCTCTTGACATGTTTTATATGACCTTGAAAGTTTAGCACTCTTTAATTATAATTCCATGGAAGATTGACATTTGTTGTTCAAAAGACTACCCAACTCAACCCATTGTAAAAAAATATTGGATGGACGCCAAACGGCAAAAGTACCTAAATCTCAAATCCCTTATGATTGGAGTTTCCATGGGGACGAAGAAAGCCTTCCATGTGATGACGTCAATTTATAATTTACAGAAACCAATCAGAGACACTCCGTATTACATTCATTCTTATCAATAAACGGATTAATTACTAGTAAATATTTACATAACTTGGCATACCAGAAACTGCAGGCTATTCACGGAGTGAGCTCTGTAAGTGTCATAGGATGTATGCAGTTTTCTTTGTCGCATTAGCTTGGCTTCCATGCTGTGTATCAAGTGCTGTGGATGCTCCTCCTGTTCTTCTAGTCTCTCTGGACGGTCTAGGATGGACGTTTACCGGTGGTGAGCAATCAAAGACTCCAAACCTTGATAACATCGCAAGCAATGGAGTCCATGCTGAATACATGTTAACAGTAACACCGACCAAAACCTGGCCAACACACCAGACGTACGTGACAGGATTGTACCCGGAGAGCCATGGAATCGTCTCGAATAATTTCTGGGACCCTCTCTTTAAAGAGAAGTTTATCTTACAATACGACTGCTCTAACTTTGACCCCAAGTTTTACGACGCTGCAGAACCCATTTGGTTAACTTTACAGAAGCAAGGAGGCCGATCCGGAGTCCATTTTTGGCCTGGATTTTATAGTTACAAAGAAAAACCGAGTTCGTTTGAGAAGCCGACATGTTTTGTAAACTGCACAGCTTTGAACATGGACTCTAAAAATCTTTGGCAGCATAGAAATAAAACTCGTTCCGGATGGCCTCCGTATATTCATTGTTTTGCAAATCAAAGCTTACCGTACAAGAATCGCATAGACAAGATTTTGAATTGGCTTCAGGAAAAAAATCCACCGAAATTTCTTGCTTTGTACATCAACGAGCCTGATTCTTCGGGACATAGTTTTGGGATAAACACAGGAGAGTATGTAGAGGCTATCAAACGCGTCGACAAGGATGTAGTAGGGTATCTGATTCAGAGACTTCAAAATGCAAATTTACTTCACAAGATAAATGTCATCTTTGTATCCGACCACAGCATGATTGAGACGTCTTCAAGCCGAGCGATATACTTGAGTGATTTAGTTGATACTAGCACATTCACTATGTCAGAGCAAGGCGTCATTGGACACTTGTGGCCTAATGACCCAAATCTTGAGGACCAGATCTACGCAAACCTCACGCGAGTACAGAATCCGCATATGAAAGTCTACAAGAAGAGAGATATCCCGTCGAGCTTGCACTGGAAGAATAATCGCCGTGTTCCACCGATTTACATCGAAACTGAGGTCGGATGGGTGGTCCAACCGAACCGACCAGCTGCGTCATCGAACTGGACTAATGCTGGTAAGTGATTATTAGCCTGTAAGTGAATGCTCTGCAGTCTGCGGTGTTGCGAAGAAGGAGAGCATCGTATATAGCCGAGCAACCGATGCTGGTATAAGTGATCTCACATGGACCCACAACTTTTATACTTCATGGATTTTTGGACTCCATTGGTGGTTCTAAATTGCATCATAAGTCGTTTCACATCAGCCATGTTGTAGGGCAAGGAGAATGCAATGTTTTTGTACGACAAATATCAGAACATTTCTATGAAATATTGTTTCCCTTACAAATCGCGTCTTTGAGAGTTTGTAAACCTCGATTTACTTACCAAAAAGGCCCCAAAGAAATCCAGACAAAAAACTGAGTTCCCATTTAATCAATTAAAATTGAAATAAGAAGGAAAAAACTTACACGAGACTCTAACATTGTTTTCTTGATTGATATAGGACATGGCTGGCAAGCTTCAAAAGAACTCGGAGCGATTTTCTATGCCCGCGGTCCTTCCTTCAAGCGGGGTTACAAAACAAAGCAGGCCCTTCAAGCCATCGATGTCTATCCCTTACTGTGTCACCTGCTTGGGATAAAACCGCTGCCCAATAACGGTTCACTCGAGAACATGAAAGAGATACTTCATAGTAACCCTAGTAGTGCATCTGTACGATGTGTCTTCTCTACCATCATTACCTATGTTGTACCATTTGTGATGTTGTTAGCAATAGTATAATAAACTTCACAAATACTTGGTTCCTTTGCGTAAAACTTAGCAGATGGTCTCATGTATACTCAAGAAGATCACGTGACATAATTTAATTTGGTCACGTGGTCTCATGTATACTCCAAAAAAAGTCACGTGACATAATTTAATGTTAACTGTTCTGAGCGTCTTTAAACGCTTACTTAACAGATCGCGTGGCCTTATGCAATACTCACGAGGTGTACACATGACATGACGCAATTATCACGTGTTCACGAAGAGTCACGTGATAAGTTTGTTAGTTTGTTTCATCAATTTACTGTTTTTTTCAAACCATTTTTTCTCGACATTACACTGAACTAACTTAGCTAATGACTTGCAATATTTGGAGTACGAAAGGATAAGAAAAAAGAAAAATGTTCCATTTGAAATAAATAGTAAAGTACAGAGAATTTGGTTTGTATTTATATAAAACATACCACGGTATATTATACTATATATTAATAATTATTATCACTGTACTAATAAGTTTAATAGGTAATTTATTTCAATTTCATTGGCATTCATAAACAATCCTGCACTTTTTATTTTCATGCATTTATTTTATTTAATATTATTTTTTGTCATTTTTACTCGACAAGAGATAATAGTTAAAGGACTCTCAATAAAATTCAATTGGGTTTCCTGTGTTTTACCAGTAGCTGTGACGTCATGGTTCAAGATGATCCGATCCAAGTGTCACCTGATGATTACATCTCATTAATATCGTTATCTGATTTTCCCTATTTAGTAGTGAGCTCTAGCGGTGCCTTTGAAAATGGACACCAAATTGACTCAATAGAAACACAGGGAGCCCACGTTAGATAAAGTCAAGGGGGGTGGGAGCCTTGATTTAAACCGTTGCACATTGAACCCTGAAACAACCTCTGGGCTGATCTAAGTCAGGGCACGGCTAACTCACAGATTGAACCCTGAAACAACCTCTTGGCTGATCTAATTCAAGGAGCAGCCAAGTCACAAAAACCTTCTCCAGTTTCAGTTCCACATTCCAATGCGTCACGAGTTAGTTACCAGTCCTTCCTTTGCAGAATTTTGTAAGGTGCGCGAATATTACAGGAATATCTGAAATGAATATCCTATTTGAATATTGTCGAATTATCTTTATATCTGTGCTTATCTTTAAAATCTTCGCTCCTATTGCTCTCGATTTTAACCTGGAATTAAATTTCATCTCGGAAACTAGTTCCATGTATATTCATAGTTTTGAATGCTGTTATTGTCAGACTTTCGTCAGACACAGATCTTTCACCATATGATACGGTAACCCACAGGTCGCAAATGCAAAGAAATACCGTTTTTGCCTCATAGGCCTATATCACACGGCGGTCATGTTTATTCTCATGAGAATAAAAACCTTTGTTTCACCCGCATAAATTAATTCTCAAGCGCTTGAATTTGAGACTACGCGTGGTGGAATCTATTGTTCAATCCAACATGGCTGCCGCGTGAAGAAGGCCCATTGAATGAATTGTGAGTCATAAACATGTTATTTCGGCAGAGCAACATTGCTATCTAGAAGTATCATCGACTCGATATCAAAGCATTACTGTCAGAGAGCAAAAGAAATTTCTCATCTTTCCTCTAGCTAGTTTGCATTTGTATAATTTTTTTTTTTTCTAATTCAATCTCTTGTCATTTCTAGTTTTTCATTCTTTGAGTAACAAGGCGGCTGTCTCTTTTAAATATAATTTATATCATAACTTGTTGAAAACTGGCTTTTAGRTTTGACAAATACTATAAGTTTATTATGAACTGAAAGAGACTTTGGCGTGCTGAGATCGATAACAAGAAAAGGGCGTTGATCAAGAACGCCTACAAATGAATCTTATAAATAAGTACTTGTGAGTTATAAATAATTCAGTAGGATAGCTAGTCCATCGATATTAATTATAGTTTTTATTATTCACATTTTTGCGCAGCTTATAGAATAATATTTATTGGATTGTTAGTGTTCGTTAGTGTTTCGTAACCTTGTAACACCAAAATTTAAAGTAAATATCGCGGTCAAAGATGTACAAATAAATAATCGCAAATTTCACGAGAAGAAGATAAAACTAGCTTTTTGAATTAAATAAACAATTAAACCAAGCAGGAACAAACTTTTCAGGCAGTCAATATATTTAACAACTAGCTCCCTGCTAGCAATAACTAATGGAGGGAAAACCTGGTGAGAAAATTGACAAAGTGATGACGTAATATGCAAAATTTAATAGTAACAGAGTTCGTTGGGGAAGAATCGAAGATCAATTTTGAGTTGGCTATCATCTCTAATCATTTTGCAGATCATTAAGCATTTGCATAGATATCAAAGGAAACTGTATTGATTCAATACGCTGAGAGTATAATAAAAAGAGTTCTGTATGTTCCAGGCTTATATCACACACGATTGATATGAAAACCAAGTGAGATACTGAATATGAAAAACCTGAATGAGCTTCTACTCTATCAAAGACAGAAAGTCATTTTTGGGATTCTAACAGAATGAATAAAGTACGGGAGACCCGAAAAACCTCAGAGGAGAAAAATGAAGATTTCCTAATTTTGAATACCATAGATGAGGAATCCCTAACGTCTGTTGGTGGAGATCATAAAGATAGAGAAAAGAAACGACAGAAAGAAGCGAAGAATAAAGAACACGTCCACCGAGGGAAAGTCAAACTACGCGCGTTGAGGAACATCGGTCTAAGACGAGGTAATTCTTTAGACACTTACAAGGAGGGAATTGAAAGAACAAGGGAATGTAAAGATATAAAAACGTTCAATTCAAAGTCTCTAGAGGAGGCAGACGATGATGAAGACTACAGAGTTGTGTTGAATGAAAAAGATTACGTTGTTCATCAACAGGATACTCGCAGACCTGCGATTTGTGAAGAGATTGAACGCATTGTGGAAACAAATAATGGGACTCCACTTCGTACCCAAAGAAGAAATCTCATTGTTTCTGACAACCTACTAAAATGGCATTTGTTATAGTTTTTGAACGCTTACTGACTAAACAAAAAAGGAGTTGTACGTTTTCTGAAGGTGTTATTTCTGGAAATTTAAGAAGAGTTTGGCAAAATATGCACATTTACTTTTACTTCAGGAGGATACTGTCTACAGAGGAAAAATCATAACATGTTTCACATGAATAACAGTCCAAATTGTCGGTGGTAAAGTTGTTATGAACGCACTCTATGATATTAGCCCGTCAGTATCTTGCACTATCATTAATCATTATACGTTGAAGTTGTTTCTGGTATTTCAACTCATCTTGCTTTTGGTTCAGTCAATTCTTTTATATATATATATATACTTAGTTCTACTGAGCTTAATGTTTTTTCACTTTTGTTGGTTTGTGTTCGTGTGTTTATTTATTTATTTGTGTGTTTGTTTTGGTGAAGTTTATTTTCGTTTGTTTGTGAGTGTGTTTAAATGATGAATTTTGAAGCACATAAGAAAAAGGAAAGATATATAGTGATGCTCGTGTGTGTGATACACTATAATAAGAATTCAATAATTTATATTATAACTTAGTCTGAAGCTCAACAATCAAACGAAGAAACACGTTTTCGCAAGAAAACGATATGCAAACTTAATTAAACAGCAAAAAAGGTAAGGAATCTAGAATGAAATGTGTTCTTTGATTACTGTAAGACGGTCATGAGTTCCGACAGCACGTCTCAGTTTTCGTCCTTAATAATGCCAAATATCCCACTCCGTCTGACAAAGTACTTCCTAATTATAGAATGACGATAAAGTTCCAACGAGTTTTTCACCAAAGTTGAAACATTTCCGTGTATATTATTTTAAAAAAATAATTTCAAAAAAAATTCTTAAGCAAAAAATAGGTTTTTTTAATGAGAAAAAAATAAAAGATGGTTTTAAAAGCGTTGAACACGCAAATAAATTGTCATTTTTTTCTATTTAAGTCAAAAATGTTTTTGGATAATCCTAAAAGTGAGTGTATCCATTTGGCTCCTGCAACGTGGACTAATTCATACAGAATAAATGACTTGTCCAAAGACTGTCAAACACTGACGGAAACTTCTAGAGGAAAGAAAGAAAGGCTTTTCAAGAAGGTCATTTTTGTTGATCATGTAAGGAACATCATAAAGACAGAGAACAGATATGTTTGACATTTTTGATGACACAGTTTCCTGGTGAGCACCTAAATGTAGCTCGCCGAAATCAGACTGCCAGCAGACGAAAATAAATATTACATGACAACGAGGAAAAATAATTAGAAAAATAATTCCTAATTCACTTTTAATCTGGGACTGACCGACTGACCGACGGTCGGACGAACCGACGGACCGAATGACCGACGGTCAGACGAACCGACGGACCGACAGACCGACGAACCTTAAGATCGCTTAAAAGACAGCGGCATAAATTGAATCATTCTTAATGCAAGCTTCCTCAAGCTAGCTAGTCTTAAACCCTATTTATGTATTGGAAGGTTTTCAAAGTATCAGTTTTGCTAAGATAAGGTATCAATTTCTGATGCGAAGCGGACAAAACATGTACTACGCATGACCAGAATAAAAGAGACAAGAGATAACGAAGATGCCGAGGATAATAGTAAATTTTAAAATGGCTTATACGACTTAATATACAATCATGATTATATTTTCGACATTTGCAGAAAGGATTAATTGAGTACTGAATTTTTTTGATGAGGCAAAAATAAAACGACACCTAAGACGTAAAGAAAATGAAAAAGAATAGAAAAGTATTCATATATTATTCTTTTAAACACATTTCCGTTTCAAGTCCAACATGTGACATCTTGATCAAGTGTCGTCCAGTCCATGCTTTCACGTGACGGCAGCCATGACAGGAGGCACAACAATAGACTCTTTTCCTAGCTCCTGGGAAACTGAATTCTTTCTCATATAAATCAGATTAGACAAGATTCATTTTTTTCTGCCTCCTTCCATGGCTACCAATACGTGATGGTACAAAGCCTCCATAACATTTGTTTTCCTTCAAAACAATGACAAACGTTCATCCAATGTTCGCTCCAATACCAAAGCTTTCCTCGTCTGATAAACGCTATATCCACTTTGTAACATCATTGACTTTTCTATCATTACACAAATTGCCTTCCTTCGTTTTTGATGTGCCAGCCAGTCTGCCCAAAAGTAGCACGGTTCCTCTTTTTCTTCATCTTGGACTCCAGATTCAAAAATCTGAACGACATGGCAATTATCTCGAGGCTTTTCTGGAAACTTCCTTGAACGAGTTTGTCTTTCAACCATTTCTTTCGACAAACTGGGCGGTTTGTTTGTTTTTTCATCCTTCAGCTTGCTGTCCTGGCTTTTACTAGGTGGCACGGGTTCCGTGCGATTTTTCAGTTTAAAAGTGATGAGATTTCTTGAAACGTTTCTTTTAGTTCTTCTCATACTTGACTAGTTATTTCGGGGGTTCAAAACTTCACGACTGGCGCTCGCTCTGCCACTGATATGAAAGTTACTCACCTTTGTACTCTACGAGGTTTTGTTCCTATGATAATCAAGGACGAGCTAGTTTTTCCTTTGAGGCGTGAAGAATAGAATATGGATTTAATGTTTAGTGTCGATATGGAGCAGAATTTACCTTCCAATTCATTTATATGGCTTTTGAACTAATTATCGAGAAGAACTAGAAAGATGATTCCTCCAACTCAAATATAAAAGTTTTTCAATTTGATTGGTTCTTATACTTAAACACGCCAGGTAAAGTAACACCTATTTTTACTTATTGTTCAGAAATACATAGCGCGCKGTTGATGAATTAATGTTGCCCTCGCCGGTCTGTCAATAATGAATAGGCGTTTTATAGTATGGTGTTATCGAGGAAGAGGAGAGAGAGGTGTCGTTGTTTTAATTAATGTTCCATCTTTGCGCGCGGGCGCGTGGGAAAGGAATGGACAAAAATGAAAAATGAATAGAAAAGCAATGAATTGATGAAGTAATAGCGCAGCGCACTGATTCTAAAAATAGCTTAAAGATTCGGACAAACATTGCATTCTGTTTAACCGCTACGAGGATTATACGAACAGATTTCATAATTTTTACTTAAAGTTACAATAATAACCCATGTAAACTAAGATCAACTGCGATCGGCTGTGAAAATTATCTGCTGAAAGTAAACTTGTAAATTTGTTTGTC